ACGTAATTCTTTCAGAGGTGTATAATTAAATCGCGGAAGCACTCGTTCTTTGTTCGAACCATTTAGAAAAATCTATTGTAAATAATGAATTTAAAAAGAAGAGGTCGTTTTTAGTGTTACTGATCATTACTCGCGTCGAAGCAAACTTGATTGCTGTACAGGATTCTGCCACGTAAAATAGGACACCTAAGTGTCTTTTCTAGTTGTTTAAACGGTTTCGAACGAAATGGAAGACAAATTTTTTTGATGGAAGAAATGGTAAAGAATGAAAAGTTTCACACTGATTTTTAAATTTTAGAGTCAAAGGTCATTTTAGGTCGTATTATTCAGTGTTAAATGCACCTCGATGTCTGCTGCAACGTACAGTAGAATAAAATATACACGTTCATGTGAAAAGCCATAAGTGACATTGAAAAGAATGAGAAATTTTTTGGATGGAAGAAACGAAAGAAAGCTTCACATTCGATTTAAAATTTTTGAGTCCAATTACTATGAATGTTTAAATGTACAACATACAGTAGGAAAAAATGTACACATTCGTGTAAAAAAACATAGGTGATTGAGAAAAACGAGGAGGAAATTTTTTTGATGGAAGAAACGAAAGGAAGCTTCACATTCGATTTAAAATTTTGGTGTCCAATTACTATGCATGTTTAAATGTACAACGTACAGTAGGAAGAAATATTCACATTCATGTGAAAAGCATAAGTGATCTTGAAAAAAGAAAACAGAAAAAGGTAGCGTTTATAAAAAAATTTGTCTTCTATCTTATTCACCCTTTGAAGCCATTCAAAGTACATGAGAAAATTTCCTCGTACCACCATAGCTAGAGAAGATAATTAAACAGCCTGTTTTACGTGGGGCACCCTTTACGAGAAAGGCCTAAAACGATTACTCCACCTGAAAACCTCTAAAAACCCAGCAGAAGATGAAAAAACCGCGGGTAAACATTGTTCAACGACAACGCGTCGTTGAATCGCGGACGCGGGACAAACGCATCCGTTTTCGGGGCGAGAAAAAAGACGGGAACGCGTGTCGCCGTGGGCGGTTTGCACAATTTGTCAGTGACAGGTGAATGGCACGCAAAAGGGTAGGAAAAAGTGTGGACGTCGCCAGGCGATATTTGCCCCGCTGAGCTTTGTAAGAACGAATTTCATTGCAGCCATGAATATTTACGATATCCGGACACAAGAGACGAACAACCAGAGTGAACAAACTCCAAAGAACATTGAAATTCCCTAGCATCTCCCCAAACACGATCTTCCTATTTGCAAAAATTACCATTGAGACTACCTAAAAAAAACAGAAAAGAACACCGGTAACTCTATCGAAGCTTCCGCAATCCCTCTGTAATCACAGCAGACGTGAATCGGAATACTCGAAACGATTCTCTTAAGTATCAGCAAATTCTAGCAGCGATACACTCTTGTTGCATAGGGTGTTCCTCTTCGTTTTGTCTGATTTACATAAAAACAAAAAAAAAGAAGAAGAGATCGAAGCAACAGAGAAGACGAGGGGAAGATGTCCGTAAAAGGTTTCATCCGCACACTCAAGCAGGAAAGTTTCATGTCCGTGCATAAAGTATCGCGGGGAGAGCTTTTGAATTGTAAATGAAGATCGACGTCTGACGAGGGATTTAATAAAATATAGCCTATTGTTGGAAAATCTTTTATCGCGTTCGTGCGTGTTGTACAACGCCAGTCGTGATTCTCTCGCAATAATTTTCGTGTTTCAACGGTTTTTTCAGCCCTCTCTCTCTCTCTGTGTGCTTTTTTCAGAGGGAGAGAAAACAGATTTTTCACCGGGTACACCAACGAACGAACGAGCGAACGACAACCTACGCTGCCATTGTCCCTTTATACGGAATTAATCTGGCACAATTGCGCAGTTAAAATGCACGGCCAATTTAAATCTGTCAGTGGAGCACGACGCGTTTTCCATGGACCTGTTCGAAACGTAGCCCATTGAGTGACGTTTATCAAAAGTTCTTGTTAATTTCGCGTTATTTATAGAGACTGACTAGCCATCGCGAACAGGTCGCTCGGTCGACCAGTGACGTCCGTACCTGAATGAAATTCATTCCGGCTGGTATAACATAATCGAAGCATGAACATTGCCCAGTCCGGTTACTTGCCGTAATGCGTGAACAATGCGATCCAATGACATGATCTGCGTCGACAATGCCCATTAAGCAAGCCACTCTTATATCTGTCGCTGGGTGCATATGCAATCCCCGCTTCTTACAGACTGTGCTTCCTTTTATTATCGTATGAACAGCGGGAGAAATTAGTGGACGTAATTAGAAAAATGTCGAGGTAACAGAGGGAACATGTCGATGTTGATAATTAGAGATGTTGATGAAACTTTGGTATGTGCTAGTATTAAAAGGAATATTTGCTACGTATTTTCTTTTTATTGGCGATTGGGTACTTTGAGGGGCTGAAAATCGACTTCGGAGGGCGGTGAACACTTTTGGTCTTACATCTCGAAAATTATAGAGATCGTGAAATTTTGACACACTATAGGTAATATGCGTTTGAAATTTTGGTATATGATAGTACTGAAAGAAATATTTGATACGTATTTTTTACAATTGTTTACATTGAAGGGCTGAAAATTGACTTCGTTGAGGAGGGTAGAAAACACATTTGGTCAAAGTATCTCAAAAATTACAGGGAAGAAGAGAGATAGCGAAGAAAGAAATTATAGAGATAGTGAAATTTTGTATTTCAAAAAAAGAAATATTCGTACACTCTACGTAATATTCGTTCAAACCGTTCCAAATTTAACGAGACAACGGAACATATACCAGTTTCTTCACCCCAAGTGATAATCACCGATATTGATGAAACTTTGATTTATGATAGTACTGAAAAAAATATTCGACGCGTATTTTTTTAATCGGCAATCATCCACATTGAGAGAGTGAAAATCGCCCTCGAAGATGGGTAGTAAACATATTTGCTTCAAACCCTTTTTTTTTATTACCTTTCATTTTTCAAATTTGTCGTAGAAAAATACAAAATTCGTCAATTTACACTATTTCTTCTATCTCTAATCATTACACTAAATATGTATATTTACCACCTCCACAGCTTCGTTATAAAATATAAAAAGACACTTGCCGAATATTTTTTCAAAAACTGCCATGCACCAAAATTTTCAAGCTACTCCCTTCCAAGCATCACAGACGAATTTCGAAACGTTCAACGTCCCGAGGAGCTTACAGAACAATGAAACGTATAATACGATTTTCATGGAAATTGTGTTCAAAGTTATTACCCAAATAAGAGGAGAAAATGTAGGAGATTGTTCCCGGGTAGGGGTCAAGCCGGTACTCGTTGTCAATTCCTGAAAACGAATACGTTCTCGGAGAAACGATTAATCTCGCACACGTGCGAATTTCCCGTTTTCAAACGAGAAGACGGATATTCGTCTGTTCCAGTTGTGTCCTCGTCGCAAAGAAAACGGTGGTCGCTTTGTGACGGAGAACCGCGTTAAATAATTGAGAATGTTCTACCCAGGTCCCTGCGAGGCAATAACTCGAAAAGCGAACGGTAGAAGGAAATTAAAATGTGATTACACGTAATCTCTATGCAGAAGTTTCGTTGTTAATTTTTCACGTTTACGCTGCTACCAGATCAACTTCTCCTTCTTTCCACATCGTTCATCTTACTTCCTTTCTTTCTTCTCTTCTTCCTTCGTTATTTCTTCCATCGGAGGCAATTAAAATCAGTGTCGCCGATTTATCGGATTACCTTGACCACGTTTCCAACTTACGCAATTCTGAGTGCTCCTCTTCAACCTCTTGAGTGAAAAAAAGATGAAAAAAAAGAACGTTAAGCTGGATGAAAGCTCGTTTCGTTGGTATACTAGTCGCAGAAGGCAAATCATCTTCTTAGTGCTCGATTACAAAGTTCGTTTCATTTGGTGAAAACGTTACCCTCATTGTCTCTCCGATGCACGCGCATCAGTGACAGTGACATTTTCATTTGTTTACAATCGTGAAAGAGGGAGGGGAGGGGTTGGTACACGAAGATTTGTCGCCTCCTTTTAAAACGGCCCGTCGATTCACATATTAGATTAACGATTTAATGGATAACTCGATGAATGACTCTATGTATGCTACGTGTCGTTGCGTAAATTGAACAAATTATAGAAGAATGCCTTTGGTGTTGGTACGATGGACACCCTGTGTGTGTATACATAGCGGCAGCGTGCAATGGGGCGCGACGATTCTCAACTCGAACATGATATCATACTTCTTCATCATTTTGCTAGTTACATCGATCAGTTTTATCGTCTTGCTGAAGTGTTGAATTTTATAAACAATTAATTTTGCTCTTTAGTCCTTCGTAGGCAATCTGGGTCAATAATGACCCGAGCGAAATTTTATTTTTGTATTTCTATCGAAACGAATTTTTATTTTCATCGTGAAAAGTGACTTAATAGACAAGTGTATGATCCAGTAGGGACTTTTTTAAGTGTCTCAGAATTTTTTCAGATTTTTTTGAAGCCTGGAATGGTGAAGAAATTAGAGTTAGATATAGACGACCTGGTTTGTCTACCGGGTGTGAAAAAAATATGTCTGGCTGAGGAGGGTTATTAAACGTAGCGTCGTTTAATCTGTATAAATTTAACTATATAGAAGTTTTGTTTGTATTGTGACTCTTTCGGAAGATGAAACCTATGATTTTCAAAATTTTCAAAATACTCCTCGAAATGACTATAGAGAAGTATGTTTAAATCGTAATACTTTCGAAGATAAAATGTACGATTTTCAAAATTGGAAAATTACTCTTCAAAATTTCTTTGAACGTCGCAGTAGAAATTTTTCCACGAGCGGCGACACGATGAGCATCCCTGAATCGCACAATGGGCAACTGGTCATAATTACGCAGCACGACAAGGGTGCACGCGTGTGCGTGCTTTAAGATCGCAGGAACACGATCACAATCTTAGCCGAAGATCAGTGTCTCGTGAAAAGTCGAGGAGTCCGCGCGTATGTACTGTACGCTCGTCATTTTCTCCGCTCATTTTCTTTTCTTCGTTTATTCCGTGAATTCGTGTGCAAAAGTGGAACGTATGTACATGTTTTTATAACATGGTGTTCTTCGTCTGGATGCTTTGCATTTTTATCATAGGTGAGCAGAAAACGACGTATTTTACGACAGGCGCGTGCTTACTTTTTCTGATAAGTCGCGTCTCTTTGCAAACGCCTCGCATATACACGGTGTATAGAACCTTCCTTTTTTTTTTTTTTTTCAACAACTTCATTATTCACCTTCATCGATTTTAATCGAATTTCGATACTTTTCGTAAATTATAATAAATTTTCTGTTATCTGCCCGCCGCTTTCAGACAATTGAAAATTATTCGTATCGCGATATTTTGCATAATTTCTGTGTCCAAATGTAACCGTTTGTAAAACTTACGAACGCTGTCTAATCTGTAATTTATGTTTATTGATCGATAAATGATTTATATACTAATCAGAAATCGGCAAATTGTGGCGGGTAGATAACAGAAAGGGTTCGTTTCACTTTGTAAACTGATCGTCGAAACGTCGAAATACTATTGGCAAAAATCAGCTCTTCATTTTCTACTGCGATCGGTGTTGTTTCATTTGAAAGCCACGGCAATCGAGACCACACGTACGACTGCCTGATAAAATCTTTGACACATGTACCCAGTCGTGACATGACAGCGCGTAGATATTTTCTCGAATGCACGTGTGTATACATATATGTGTATTAGAACTCTTACTATCCGGGTAATACCCGAGTACTTGGAGTATTTATTACGGTAAGAACTCATATAACGTGAATACAAATTCTAAATTTGTAATTTTGTAATTTTTAGTTAATTCATTTTCACCCAAAAAGCGACATCGGTGGAACTTGATTTGTATTTCCCGCGTTACAGGGGGTATAACCCAAGCTTGAATTCGAAAACCGGATGTGAGTGCGGGTACTCGAGTATCCGGACTTAGATCTGAGTACTCGAGTATCCAAACTTGAATTTGAGTACTCAAGTATCCGGATTGATTACTCGTCAGATTAAATTCATATTAAAGAGACCAACTTTAAGTAAATTTATTAACATATTCTTCAGTCTTAATCCTTTACTCAAATTTGCTCCCTCTAATCCGAATTCAGATGTATAACAAATGCTTTGCATTTGAATAATGAACAAAAGGAACACCTCGCCAATTTCGATGACTTTGGAATATGTTGTCAAGGCCAACATTCTGGGTATTTTTTTCCTATACATATAACTATCGCTCTGCCTTAGTTTCAAAGATATTTGCAAAAAACTTCGATTTTTAGGTTATGTTTACACTTCATTCTATTTATGTAACCCAATCTAAATTCAACTCATTGGTGATAATCATTTGTAGCGTATTAAGCTGATACAATACTCACAAAAGATATCGCGCCAAAATAATAAGCGTATTAAATTTCCATTCGTCAGTATATCAGATATCTCAGCATTGGAGCGCCCAAATTCACAGTGCTCGGTTAAAATAAATTTTCCTTCGTTAATTATTTCACTATTTGCATCGAATCTTCGTACTCAATTTCACGCGAAGCTCATAATGTTATAAAAAATTGAATTTATTTTTACCTCAGCTATTGTGTCACGATGACAAAAATACGTAGTCCACTTAAAAAACCTTGAAATCTCAAAAAAAAAAAAATGACCTAATCAATATTGCTTATATTTTTATAAGTTGTAATTTATAAGGTTATCATTGCAATAAAAACCAAATATTGCTCTCCTCCGACGTTTTTTCTTATCGTGAAAAATAAGCAAGATATTTAAGACGCTCGAATTAGACGGGACACCCTGTATATTTATCTACGTGCATACGCATCGATCTTACAGAAATAAACAGAAAAAAAGAAGAAAAAAAGAAACAGGAAACGTTTTATGGAGACACACGGAATTCGTCGCCTTTCATTTTCTCCGGTGAACCGTGGTGGGGCAGACGATAACATTTTCACGCTATAAAACCGATCGCAGCTTAAACGCGGAGCGCCCCGGATTCCGTTCGATTCTCGTCCAAGTTTCTCAATTTCCCACGGTTGAATTCATTAAAATTAATTCAGTCTCGATCCGATTGTTCACCCACGTTCACTTCAGGTTTGGGAGAATCACATCTCTCTCCCTCGTGAAATATATTCGTTTTGCCCGCGAAACGAGCCATGTGACAGCCGCGGAAACGGTTATTTACAATGGTTGCTGTAAATTTGTCGCGAAGCTGCTTCCGCCCTGTTTGTCGCGTTTCTTTAATCGCAGCTCCAAAAGCTACCACTATTTCTCCCTTTCTCCGTTGTTTACTTTTTTCTTTTTTTCTGTATCCTTATTGTTCTTCCATATTTTAGATTTTTAATAAAAAAAAAAAAAAAAAAAAAAGGAACAGGTTGATATGAAAAGATACACCGGTGAAATTTAAACGAGACCGAATGGTGAAGTGAATTGTAACAAGTTTCGGTTTAGCCTGACGGCTGATCGTCACACGCGAAAATTCAGCATACATAATACATGGGAAATCTGAATTTAACTTTTCACCATTCCGCCACGCGGAAACACGGTTCAACTGCCGCTTTCGCGGAAACCAGACAGCGAATTTTCTAGATGGTAACTTCGAAGTCACGAGCAACCAGAGGTAGCTGGAAAAATGGAAATGATTTTCAATGGACAAAAATGTCTCTTTTGTCTAGATAAATGGTTGTTTTTTTTTCTTTTAGAGCGTATCTAAATGTTGGTGAAAAATGATTAATCGCGTAAATTTTCGTTGATACAGGTTGTCGAGCGACGACGAACAATGGCTTTAAAAGCTATCCAACAACGGTGAAGACCTTCGAAAACGACACGGTGTTGCTTCCGTGTTACGTGGAGGATCTCGGTAAGTCGCTTCCGTAAACCTTCCACCTTTAAATGCTTTTCAGCCGTCGTAAAAGCTGCAGAAGGTTTGCAGAGAGAAAACAACCCCTTGGTACAATCGATTGTCCTCTTATTAACGAGCAGGAAAAGTCGAGCGGGTTAAACGATCGAGGAAAGGAAAAGTGGTGACTTGAAAGGGTCACAGAAAACTTAATTCTTTCAGTGGAACTGTTAGAAATAAATATCAACTGTTGCGTTGTGTAAACAGTAGTAATGGTGTTACTTTAGAGACGTTAGGTTGATATCGTGATGGAGTGTCGTTTTATGAGGGAGGAAATTATGTTTGTTGCTTCGTTTTGGATTTGTGGAAAGGGTAATGAATGAAATTGTAAGGATTCCGGCTTTAGGGGAAGTGTGTAGCAATGGACTCTCGGTTTCGTTGAGGAAAAGAGACTTGCGTATTAGTGGTTCGCCTTTAAATCTTCAAATATTCAAATTTTCAAATATGTATTTAAATTGATCTCCAAATATTTAAATTTCCAAATTTTCAAATCTCCAAATACTTAAATTTCCATATTTTCTAATCTCCAAATATCTAAATTTCCATATTTTCTAATCTCCAAATATCTAAATTTCCATATTTTCAAATCTCCAAATATTTAAATTTCCAAATTTTCAAATCTCCAAATATTTAAATTTCCAAATTTTCAAATCTCCAAATACTTAAATTTCCATATTTTCTAATCTTCAAATACTTAAATTTCCAAACTTTCAAATCTCCAAATACTTAAATTTCCATATTTCCAAATTTCCAAATATTTAAATTTCCATATTTTCAAATCTCCAAATACTTAAATTTCCATATTTCCAAATCTCCAAATACTTAAATTTCAAAATTTTCAAATCTCCAAATATCTAAATTTCCATATTTTCAAATCTCCAAATATCTAAATTTCCATATTTTCAAATCTCCAAATATCTAAATTTCCATATTTTCAAATCTCCAAATATCTAAATTTCCATATTTTCAAATCTCCAAATATCTAAATTTCCATATTTTCAAATCTCCAAATATCTAAATTTCCATATTTTCAAATCTCCAAATATCTAAATTTCCATATTTTCAAATCTCCAAATATCTAAATTTCCATATTTTCAAATCTCCAAATATCTAAATTTCCATATTTTCAAATCTCCAAATATCTAAATTTCCATATTTTCAAATCTCCAAATATCTAAATTTCCATATTTTCAAATCTCCAAATATCTAAATTTCCATATTTTCAAATCTCCAAATATCTAAATTTCCATATTTTCAAATCTCCAAATATCTAAATTTCCATATTTTCAAATCTCCAAATATCTAAATTTCCATATTTTCAAATCTCCAAATATCTAAATTTCCATATTTTCAAATCTCCAAATATCTAAATTTCCATATTTTCAAATCTCCAAATACTTAAATTTCCATATTTTCAAATCTCCAAATACTTAAATTTCCAAACTTTCAAATCTCCAAATACTTAAATTTCAAAATTTTCAAACCTCCAAATACATAAATTTCCAAATTTTCAAACCTCCAAATACTTAAATTTCCATATTTTCAAATCTTCGAATATCTAAATTTCCAAATTTTCAAATATTAATATTTGGAACTTTCAAATATTCAAATTTTCAAACTTTCCGATATTCGAAATTCCAAATTTGTACACTTGCAAAGCACTCGACTTCGCCTAAAGTCTCTACCACTCTCTATTCCACCGACAAACCGAGACTTCTCCGTGTCAACGCGTTTCATCTTACCCACTGCAGAGCCACAAACTTGAAACCTCAAACTTTCTACATTTCAAAACCTTACAAAACCCATCTCCCATAGTCTTCCAAAATAAAACATCAAACCATCTAGGATACGATTAATTCGTTTAATATTACCACGATCGAGTAAAACGGGGACACAACGTGGCAATTTCGGTCCATCGATCGATGCTAATTTCCCTAAGCAGCATCGCGTCCACCCGCGACACTCGTGTACCAGGTATAGAACGCAAACAATTTGTCGTACAATCGATCGAGCTGTCATCGGTGGTTTCGCTAAACTGGATTGCCTGTCGGCCATTCGCTTTAGCTTGTCGCTACTTTGACAAGAGGTCACGGTACCTTAAGACGATCGACGATCGCTAAGATCGCCACGAATTAAGGACTTGTTTCAGATTAAACCTTATTTCACCCCTTCTCAGATTCTCCTCTAACCACCAGCGTTGTCTTAACTATACCCTCGATATATCCTATCCCCAGCTAGGATTAACAGTAAATTAGGTCAGAGAAAAGACACTTGCTTCGCTGTTCGGCTACTTATCCGTATAAATTTCACGAAATTGTACAGAGTGTTAATTTTAAACCGAGCATCTTTATTATTTCCAGTTACTATTAAGGTTTTAGCTTTGTAAGAGGACTTAACTCGTCGTTGGTTAGCCAATACTTGGAGCACAATAATTTATTTATCGAGGAATTATTCATTTTTCATTGTATTATAGGGTTGACTGTGTAAAAGAAAGTAATTACTTACAATTCTTACTGATTTTTAATTATACACTGGAGAGATTGAATTTCTGTTTCAAAGGGAAACACAGGTGACGGGTTAAAGGTAAGAAAAAATGACTAAATAGGATTTAAATGGTTTCAACGCGTACATCTTGTGGTGACAATAAATTTAACTGTTTTTTCAAGATCATTTTTTGCGTATTAACCTCCATTTTTTATAACGCAATTTTGTAAAACGGCGTCGAGACGAGTTCAACGACCTAAGTACCATAATAATTATCGAGGCTTTACGAGTGTAAGCCGTGTCCTTATGGAAAAAGTATTCCAACGTTTCGTCGGAATAATTATCAGTGTCTTTCACGAACCCAGATCAAGTGAATTACAATGCTTACGAAACGTCGGAATACTTTTTCCACAAGGACACGGCTTACACCCGAAAGCCTCGATAATAATAACGCTCCAAGCCGTGAAAGCCTTAAATCTTCAACCAAAAACCATAACCGTACAGTGACCTTAAAGACGGAAAAACGAGTTTCATTTCGAAGAACGTAAAAATGACAAAACGAGAAGATCGCATTATTTTCTCAACTGAAAATTAACATCCTGTATACATTGTACTGTATTTGTGGAGGTGTATCTACATTTTCTAGACGATTGAATATTATAGAAACGGAGTTATCAAGTTTATTCCGCGAATGGTTACAAACAGACTTGTCGATGAAGTTAAAGTGTAACTTTCAGATCGAATTTTCAGCGGATTGAAACGTTTGTGTGTGTCGGTGTGTGCCTAGATAACGTGCAGACCAGGGTGAGATGGTGGAGAGACGGTATCCTTTTGGCTGACAGTGGTGAACCGCAACACGTACCACCCGAAAGAGTTAGAATGTACTCAAACAGAAGCCTGGAGGTTTCCCATGTGAAACGAAACGATACCGGGGAATATGTGTGCCAGGCATCTCGACCGGCTCCCTGGGGACATGCGACGCAAGTACATGAAATCGAAGTGATGTGTGAGTATATATATGTATATATTTGTGGCTGTGTATATATGTATATGTATATGTATGTACATATATCAGTATCGAAATGAAATGGTGCTCCCTCTATCTAGCAGAGATTTCTTCTTATCCGTATACACTTTCTGTTCGTAAGTATTAGGACACTTACCGAATGTGAGGCATACTGGGATCTAGGGCAATGTACTGAACTCTGCTGAAGTCTACCAAAATCTACTATAATCTACTGAAATTTGTCGAGTTTTACTGAAACCTACTGTATTCTACTGGTATTCTGCTATGGAAATCTTTTGAAACTTAGGGAAATCTACTGAACTTCGCTGAAATCTACCAAAATCTACTGTATTCTACTAGCATTGTACTATGGAAATCTTTTGAGATCTATCGAAATTTTTTAAACTCTGCTGAAAAAAAGAGACAGTTACTGAATGTGCAGCATACTGAAATCTAGGGCAATCTACTGAACTCTGCTAAAGTCTACCAAAATCTACTGAAATTTGCTGAACTCTATTGAAGTCTACTGTATTCTACTAGTATCTATTGAAATCTTTTGAAATCTAGGGAATTCTACTGAACTCTGCTGAAATCTACCAAAATCTACTCTGTTCTACTAATATCTATTAAAATTTCTTGAAATCTACGGAAACCTGCTAAGTTATAATACTTTCTACACGAACAGAACGAGTATCCCAACACTTCCGACCAGCAGAAACGTTGTACATCGTCTCGTTTCACCGTATTGTTGGAAACTTTCTCAAAAAGAAGGAACATTTAATGGAGACGTTCGAAACTGTTGAATAATTTTCCTTCGGTGTCCACCGCTAATTGGTTCCACCGAAGAAACGACGCCAATTAATTTGAATTGATAATTTAAAAGCGGGCAGTAAATGGCGAAAGGTGGAGAAAGGGAGAGATTCGGAGGGAGGGAACGTGTTTCGTAGAGAAGTTAAACACAAGTATCGATTCTATCGCGTATCGTCGTCGGTGTGAAATTATGGATGACCCGGGAGATACCTTCAACCACTCTACGACGTTCCGCAAACAAATTCAGGAAAGTTTCCTCCGCCGCGAAATCCTCCACGGAGTTTCTCCAGCCGCGAGGATTTCGGTTCTATTTCGCGGAGGCGCAGCGGGCGCGCGGCCTGTGCAAAAATAAGAAAAAGGAACCGACCCACCTCCACCTCCTTCGAACGTCTCTTCTCGTTGGAATCGAATTTTGCGGTTTTTTCACGTCCCGAGAGATTGAAAACGAGCGATCTCATCTCTCTCTCTCTCACTCCTTCCAACGATTCCCACACACACACACACACACTAGTAGATACGTGTAATTCGTGCAAGCTTGGGTTACTACGATTCATTCGGGTCTAATTAATATTATCGGACGTCCTGTTGGGAATGTTCGTGGCATTGAATTACAGTGTCCAATTCGAAAGACAGCTAAACATTTCAGATGTACACTACCGTTCAGAAGGATTAAGACACTTATTGAACGTGATGCAAACCTTAAACCGTCGTTGCAAAATTATTAATATATTTATTAAATTAACGGGATAAGTTCCATTGGTGTACAAAAGTATTGCAGTCGTGCAGTGCGTGTAAACTACAAAATAGTCTTAAGTGACACATGGTCTTAAAGAAGTTTGTCAATTTCTAAATGAATTTATGTTACATACAAAAAAGTCCAAATTATTAAAACTCTATAACCCGATTTTGCAAAAACCTACGAGCTCCACAGAAGTTAAATATTTTCATTAAAAACAATTTCCACAACGTTCCATACATCCTTGCCAACAATTTGCATTATCAAATCAATCGCTAAAAATAAAATGTTTTATTCATAGATCCACCTAGTGTCCGTCCGGTACCGGAAACCGGTAAACTCGAGGTGAACCTTGGAGAAGAAGTGGACATGAGTTGCGTAGCAAAAGGTGTTCCAGTCCCTATCGTATCGTGGAGGAACAAGGTAAACTACTACACCCCTCTCAATCACAGGGGGAAAAGAAAAAAAATAATTGAACGGGCAAAGTGTCACGCATGTGTTCAGCTGACATAAGCTTCGCGTGAATATCGAACATGAAAACAGTGACAATATTTATCTATTGACAGGACGGGGAAATACCATTTTTGTATGATAGATCACGTCTACGATTTCACGCTGGAAATCCAAACGACTCTGGACGTTATACGTGCGTAGCAAACAACGACGTCGGCGAACCTGCAACCGCAACCATAGATTTGTACGTCAGATGTAGGTACCAATTTGTTACCAATTAATTCATACACGACATCGTACGTACAGACTATATTTTATCGTAATTGCTCGGATGCGTCGCGAATTCTTCGTGGTCCACCCACGTTGAAATTAATCGACTTTACTCGTATGCACGAGAAAGTAGCGGCCGTACATCGTCCTGTATGCGCGCTCTTAAATGGTCGTAATTAAATTAGGAAATTGCATTCCTCTCTTTAGCATTCCAATCGAACGTCCGCACGATCTAATTGTGGCCACGCAACGCTCGAATGCGTCAAATCGTTTGTACGCGATAATCGTTCCACGGAAACGATCGTAATTTCAATTGGAAATCACAGAGAATCCCGTTTCCTTCTTCTCCATTGTATTTACACATGTTAAATTCGATAAAAGAAAAAACGAGGTAACTCGAAGATGTGTAGAAATTTTTCTTTTCACATGTATGTACGTTCAACCTGTAATTAAATAATTCATCGTGTTAAACGGTTTGATAATTGACATAAAGAGAGTAATTAAAAGCGTGGCTGATGTAAGAGTACCGATGACGATGAACCATTTCGAGAAGGTCAACGATCGTCTTGTATTCCGAGAATTTGTCACAGAGAATAATGGATAGAACGAGGATCAAATTAAATTCCAACCGAGGCATTTATTTCTCTGCGATTTCTTCTTTCTTTTTTTTTTTCCTTCGCCTTTCCTTTCTTCCTTACAATGACCGATGCCATTTCTAATATCGTATAATCAATTTTCTTTCCCTCTTTCACGCATCAATCTTGCGGCTCTCGATTGATCGACGATTCAACATGACGTAGACAAGCCCAGGATCGAGATGACGAAGACCTGGATGCACGCACCACCTGGAATACGAGTACAGCTGCATTGCGGAGTGACTGCCTGGCCGGAGGCAACGGTGAGACAATTTCGCAAGATTACCAACCATATAATTGTTACGCCAGTAATTAACAGTTCGATGAACAATGGACAGAGCTCGGAGTCAAACCCGTTTTCAATGTTTCAAATATCGAATATCTTCGTTCTAGAACTTTTAATTACTTCCTGAAACAACAGTGCCGTTTTTCGATTCGTTTTCATTCGACATCGTTGATCATCTTGGTATTGCATCTTTATTTCCAACGTACTTCTTAAGCCCTTATAATACCGAACGCGAACTTAACCTAACCTTACGATTTTTTAATTGTTGCGTATGTTCTTTGTACGTATGCTACGTATCCGTTGTTTTGACACAGTGTTAAATATGAACAAAGTGAAAATATTATATACAATTTGTATTTTGTAATTGTTAAATTTAAATTGAAGTTAAATTTAGAACTAAAATGCTAATTGGTTAGAAATATAATTCTTCTTTTGTCGTATTTTGATTATAACCTATATTACGAGTGTGACTTGTTACAAGACAGGAGGTTAATAAATCTTTTTCTCGATGCATTTAAGGGATAGTATCGAAAGTAAAGCAGTTTGCAGAGAGATGCTTTAATGTTGAGACGAATACGTAAAGTCTCGCTTAGCTCTGCCTGCGAAGCAATTTCTCTCAATCTATCCCTTCGAGGCAGTAACACGTGATGAATTGATTGGCGGGAAACGTGACTCGCGATACTTCTGCTTCTGCAAAAAGTAGCTACTAGGGTTAAACTGGCCGCTGACGCGGCGTTTCTCTGAACTTCTCCAAAGATCGAGAAAAGTTCCGAGTGTCGTAGCGCATTCTGACGAGCGGTTTTCTCGGTTAAGTCAATAGTACACTCGATCAATCCACTTTAACCGGTGCTTTAGCACTGAAATCATAAACGAGATGCATTATTAAGTTGTTCTTCTTCCTCTTTATTTCCTTTTCCTTTGTAAATCGTACGAGTAAATCGTTGTCCACAGGTGGAATGGTATTTCAACAACAAAAGCGTGAAATATTCGTCGAGGATAGTAAAGCACAACGCAGGCAGCGATCACAGTTTAGTGATAAGGAACGTCAGGACGACGGATTACGGTTTCTACTTGTGTAGGGCTTCTAATTCCTTAGGAATCACCGAGGCGGCGGTCGAATTATCGGGTATCGCGAATCCGGCCGTCTTTAAGAAGACCTCGCATAGTCTATCCAAGACCTCGTACAATTTCGTCTGGGAGGTCTACAGTTATAATCCTATTGTTCAATACGAATTCAGATTTCGTAAATATATGGTAAGATTCTGATATCAATTAAGATCCAGTTACAATGAAACTAACCTTAAATATGTACATCGTGAATTTTTGAATCTTTAGAATGGTGTTCCCGGTCAATGGCTTAAATTGTATATACCTAGTGGCAGCGATGGAAATAGTTTTATACACACGTACTCGTTCAAATTGACGGGCTTGGAAGAGGCAACGCATTACGAGGCGCTCGTTTTGTCGAAAAATCGTTACGGCTGGAGCAAGCCGTCGGAAATAATACGATTTGCCACGGAAGGTGCTCGTAAGTAATAAAGACAAGTGACCGCGTCTTTCTCTTGAAAACGGCACCATTCAGTTTTTCACGTTTTCATGACCTACATAATCTGTTTCAGCGGACAAGGATAACTATATAACGAACGCGATACAAGAGGATAAAATCGTGCCAGGTAACTTGTTATTTAATCTTCGGTCCTGTCGTTTCGGACAGTTGCAATAACGATACTCCGACGAAATTGTATTACACACGTTGAATGTGATTTTATTCGTAGCGGAGCAACTCGCGTCGATGTCGCAACATTCTCCTTTGGATACCGAAAGAAGCGGATCCTTTTCCAACCGAGCAAAAGTAACGACAACCGTAGCGATGATATTTATGTTATATATTTTCAATATGGATTTTCGTAAGATGTGAGATATTTGTATTAAATACTGTTGTTTCAACGAATTCAATTAGTTTTACGAGATAATTAGGTTACATAGGCAAGGAAGGAAGAAGAATTTGTGTCCTATATTAGGATAAAATTTCATAAGATTAAAATGGTTAAGCTTTAAGATTGTAAATAAATTTAGATCCACTCACTATGATGTTGAATTATTGTATTTCAAAACTACTCAACACGGCTATATTTTTACATTTCATTTTTTTACTCCCTGATACTTTGAACGCTCTGAAATATATTTTAATTACAAAGAGACGTTTTTCTCACAAATGTAGGAGACAAAAATTTTTTAAAACATTTCGTAACCGTTTATTTATTTTTTGAAAAATTCGGTGCCTATCAAACAATGCGGAACCGGTTATTACTTATCATTCTCTAGTGGGGAGTATAAGAAACATCGTTACAATGCACGAAGATTGCCACAGTTGGTAATATAGATTTTAGAAAGTAACTGTAGAGTTTTGGTGTAATTGTTCATGTTCTGCAAAAACAGAGCTGCAATGTTATTTAGAACGTATTTAAAATTCAACAGAAGCTTATTATTTGCTAATTTTAGTTTCCCAAAGTGTTATGCTCATACTAGGTTAAATCAAATATGTAATGATAATGACAAAGCCGAAGTGGGAACGCATGTAAAAGTGCAGGTTAGCCGTATTCTGTCATTTCTTAATATTTTAATATCCAGTATAATGTAATAAATATTTTATACGTGTTACTTTAACTTTTCAAAATAGTGGTTGAAATAGTGTAATAATTCAGGGTTGGGTTCATGGTCTCAGAAAGCTGAAACAAAATGTTTTTGTCGATATTATGGATGGATCAACTCCTAAAGTGTTGCAAATTGTTGTACCCAGATCTCTCAAACCAGACAAATTAAGTTTCGGAAGTAGTATTGTAGTAGAAGGGAAATTAGGTGCAGCTTCAGGAAATCAAGTTGAATTACTTGCAAGCAATATAACTATAATTGGTTCATGTGACGTTCTGGATGGATATCCTTTTGCTCCAAGAAAACATTATTCTGAGGAATATACTAGACAGTATTTACATTTAAGACCCAGGACTAGAAAGTTTGGGTGTTTGTTAAGGCTCCGTGATAGAGCATCTGCAGCTATTGAAAATTATTTAAGAAGTAGAGATTTTATAAATGTACATACACCAATTTTAACTTCAAATGATTGTGAAGGTGCTGGTGAATTATTCTTAGTGAAACCACAATCTGAAAGTATGATGAAAGAAATGAAAAGAACAGATGTTTCTGAGGAAGAAGCATATTTTAATACTAAGACTTTCTTAACAGTTTCTGGTCAATTACATTTAGAAACTATTGCAAGGTAAATAGGCTACCAAATTTTATATTCAATAATTAACCAAGAAGAGATTAAAATGTTAAGATATGTATAAAATATTTCAGGGCACTTACAAGAGTATATACCTTTGGGCCAATATTCAGAGCTGAAAATTGTAAATCAAGATTACATTTATCTGAATTTCATATGTTAGAAGCTGAGTTAGCATTTGTTGATAATATTGATGTTCTTATGGATGAAGTTGAATTAATGATAAAGAATGTAATTAACGATATGATTGAAAAGGCTACTTCTGATGTAGATGCACTGGGTGGTCTGCAAGTACAATGGGTAGATGAAAAATTTGCACGTATAACATATGATGAAGCCTTTAATATTTTACAAAATAATGCAAATAACTTGAAGAAACCTGTCCCCAATTTTGGATCAAACTTGGCTAAAGAGCATGAATTATTTTTAGTTGAGCACAATAATAATATTCCTGTATTTATTATAAATTGGCCAAAAGAAAGCAAACCTTTTTATATGAAAGAATGTAAAGATGATGCTTCAAAGGTAAGCATAGTGGTTGTAAATTTGATAAATGTGGACACTATTAGGGTACATATGTTCCTTTTCTTTAAAGGTTGCTGCAATGGATTTGTTAGTACCTACTGTAGGTGAATTGGTAGGAGGAGGTATACGTGAAGATGATTATGAACAATTAAAATTAAAATTGCCTTCAACATCTGATCTTTCTTGGTATTTAGAACTTCGGAAATATGGTAATGTTCCAACAGGAGGGTTTGGAATGGGGTTTGAAAGATTTTTACAATGTCTTTTTGATATACCAAATATTAAAGATACTCTCCCCTTTCCAAGATGGCCACATAATTGTAGTTTATGAATAAACATTTTATAACTATTGTATATATGAATGTACCCCAAATAATTTATATTCACTGAAATTATTGAAGAATAAAATTTTCTTTAAGGAAAGAGCAAAAGAATATTTAAACAAAACGATCAATGTACGTTTTAAAACATTTTTTTTTTTATGAAAATTATATTAAGGGAAATTTTTTTGGTAATATTCAGGAAAAAGAACACTTTATTCAATTTATTTATTATACTCTCAACATTCAGTACTACAAAATTTTATATTAAGGACAAGAAGTAAACAATAACTTCAATACATTTTTTTCTAAAAATAAGTTTTATTAAATATCGAGACAAATCTCAACTAAAGAGTAACTTTTCTTATTAATACCTTTTTATTTATTCAAATGTTTTTATAGTTAAAAATTTAAACTTCTAAAGTTTTTCAGCAATGGCGATTATCGTAAGGGATATTTTAGAAAGGTAAATTTAGGATCATAAATAAGCAACCAAAGGAAGTCAGACCCCGAATAATTAACAAGATTTTTTTTATACAACAAAATAATCCTTCTCTAGTAGTAACTGTTTTTTTCTTCCTTACCCAATATCGTCGGGATTATTTTTATGTTGGTATTATATACATTATAATCAACAATTTTATATCACACAATTTGTACACCTAACTGAATTGGGTAATCTTTCAGCATCTCTTGCGGGACCTCATTTTCGTGCTTTGTAAAATCAAAGGGGGACGATGCTTCTAGAAAACAATGTATCGAATACCTTTCGAATGTTTTTACAAAGTACAAACGGTATGAAATTCTCAGTTAGTCCTGTGTGCATATCAATATTACATTTCTGACATTCTTCAGTCACGAAATGCGATTGCACTCAATATTGTTGGGAATGCTACTATACCATATCTCGCTCTAGTTAAACTGTTTCGATTACATTAAATATGTACAGTTCTTGTTCTCTTTTCGCCTTAATTAAAATTTAAAAACTAAATACACGCATACTCTTACACACTCATACTTTATAACACATATCTTTTAACTTATACGACGTGATGTTTGATAGTAGATAGGTATGATCAAATTTTCTTACCACATCGACAGATCAAAGATAGAAATACTTAGATAAAAAACTGGCATGTGAAATGCAAAAATAGAAAAATAAAATACAGAAAATGAATCGTATTATAAAAAAAGACAAAATTGTGTGATTACATTGCATCAGGTCGCATAAGCTGCACAAATATGACGTACAATGCATCGATACTTAATTTTAAGTAGCGCTAAACACAAATGCACTCAAATCACACACTCTCACGCATACATATTTCAAATACATTACATACATTATTTACATAATCGAGCAGAGTCCTGATAACTCTTGCCCTCTTTCCACAGGAGGTAAATTTGAAAGTTTTCTACCTTGTAAAGCAGGTTTGACAGAAGCAGGCACCAAAGGTTCTATTACTTCTTCAATAGGTGTCTCAACTATAGATTTTTCCTTTTCCTTTGATTCTTCTGGTTCTTTATTAATACACAAAGGTTTCGTAATATTAATTTTAATTCGAGATGGCGCTGCCGGAATCGACGCAGGTGTAGAATCCAATTCAACATTTCCATCTATGGAACTCTTCACAGCAGCATACGTTGTATCCACCGATGCAGGTTCAGTTATTATGCTTTCCTCAGGGTCTACTTGTAAAATTGTTTTGCAAACGTTTTAAGAAATTAGTACTCGGTAAAAACATATTTAAATGTTTTTTAATAAATTAGAGTATTATTTATATCAGTAATATTAATTACATAATCTACAATACGTACCTGGCTCTGGTTCAACAGGTTCTTCCTTAATTTCCACGTTACTAAAATCGAAGTGCTCCTCTTCTAGTTGCTCCTCAGGTTCGTCAATTGGTTCTTCCTTAATTTTAATATTTTCAAAAGATTTATCCACATTTTCCGTTTCCGATACTTCCGTTTCAGTCGCTGTGTGCGTTTCTTCCTTTTCAACACTTTCAGTATCAATATCTTCTTTACTGTTGGTTTCTAACTCTTGCTCTTCTACTTTTTCACTTTGTTCAATATCTACATTATCTTCAATCACATTTTCTTCTTCCTTATTGTCAATTTCAGGAGTTTCCTCCAATACATTATCTTCCATTACTTCGTCCGATGGTTCTACTGTTACAAATTCAGTATTCAATGCTTCCACACTTAATTCGTCAGTCTTATTTTCCTCTACAAACGTTTCATCGGAGCTCTCCTTCTTTTCGTCTTCCATTTCCTCAATTGTTTCTTCAAGCGCTAACGCAGATTTTTCCAAAGCTCTCTAATGGCATAAAAAAGCACAGTATTAGCATTATAATTTTGATAAGTTATAAAAAGTGAAAATGAAAATATTCAAGACTGATAACTATAAACGTGCAATAAAATTTTAGACAACTAAAAGTTTTATTGTTGCCTTATCTTCTAACGTGTATTAATACAAATAAAATGACTTCTATTTAATTTTTTTAAATTGCTTATCTGACTAAATAATATACTGATTAAAAATTCAAATGTAATTTAACACATGTAAATAATTTATAATAGTGCACATTTACCATCATCGCTTTATATATTATTATAAAAATATTCTAAAAAATTAAAAGAATAAATGGAACAAAAGATTTATTACAGTTTTTACATTACGTCTTTCAGTGCCTAATTACTTCCACTATATCTATAAGTGAAGAAACTTTCTGCAAGTGCAATATACAAATATGAATTATTAAGAAGCACATACCACAAGACTCTTTTCCTATTTTTTGTAAGAATGCAACAAATGGAAAATTTATTAATAAACTTACATCGATATTTAATTGATCGAAAATATGACGAAATGTTAACATAAAATAGAAAGAGGTAAAAACAAAAGAAATAAAACTAACCTTGTAATCATCCAGGCACAACGGATGATAATTCTTTCCTTCGAAATTAATTGCAGGCCTTAAATGCCATTCTTCCTTTTCTTCGTTATAAAATTGTTCAAATGCATCATGGCACACTTGACATCTAGAATCTTCATCAGATCCAGTAGGAACACTAGGTTGTAATGCTTCTTGAGGAGAATCTTCCGTAGTAATACCTTCCGTATCCGCTGTTTGTTTTTCAGTTTCAAACCAGCTTTGTGCTAAAGGAAATAAACCCAAAAATTAGGTTCTTTTCTATGAAAAATACACTTACAGATAAAAGTAAATATTTTACCTCTATCTTCTAAATCTTCAATTTCTTCAAATTGTATCCAATCACTAACATCATAATACCAAGGTCGTGAATGAGCTTTCCTCGCAGAATCTCTTTCTCGTCTATTTTGTCTAAAATGCCAATCTAAATGATGACTGTATCGAGTTGCCAATTCAGGTGCAAATCTAGCACCACAAGAACTACACTGCATACCACTATACAATGCCGCTGCGATGGCTGGTTGTTTACTACAACGAACATTTCTAAATTAAAAAATTAATACAAAAAATAATCGATGAAATATAAAATTTTCTTCTAATTATACTTACACTTTAAGCGTTTCTGGCTTATCAAACGAAACAGGAATAATTTCTGGTTCTTTCTTTTCTTCCTCTTCTGGCTTCTTTTGCTCAGAAAGGTTTGGTACAATACCGGTCTCAACCAACCTCTGGAATAATTCGTTCATATTTAATGGTAACGATAATGCTGGAGCAGCTGCAGGTGGATTTTCCACTGGTTCAGCTTGATATGACAATCCAGATGACGGTGCCATTGCCGATGGTAAAACGGAAGATAACATGTCTAATTGCAAATCTGAAACAAAGTAAATTTTCGCTACAAGTCTAATGAAATATTACATAAAATATACTATATTTAGGATCAAGTATCACATTGTACAGTGTATACTGCATACTTTTGCAAACATAATATTTACCCGGTTTAGGTGTAGACCTAAGATCCGAACCATCCTGTGACGTTGATTCAGGTTCAACGGCAGAGAATTGCGTTGGTGTAGAAGTTGTATCCACTTTCGGCTTTTGCGTCAATAGAGGAGGAGTAGGTGGTGATTCAATAGGTTCTTCACCTTTCATACCTGCGATCTTAACATATCCTGGTCGAACACCTCTGGGCAATACCGAAAATCTTATGAAATGTTTTTTATCTCTAACAATAATAGGTTTAGGCAATCCTCCGAATTCAACTTTAAATGGTCGCCCATTTAAAAGAACTGTTTGTAAAGAATCTATAAATTCAAGTGTATGAGGTTTTCCTTCGATTTCAAATCTGTAAACATTATTGTGGTATACTCAAACATTGTCTTGTTATTCCGAGGCTTGTAATAATATGAAAGTAACTTACATTTGAGGCTTTGCATCTAAAAATACGGGAACCATATTTCTGGCATTAATAATAAGATTAATTTTGGCAACTACTAAATCTGTTCTCTTTACAGTACCAATCTTAACATGGGGCGGAGGTCCTTCCAACTTAACACTAACTTTTTTACCACCAAGATCTACCGTGACAGGCATACCACCGAAATAACACTCATACCATCGATCATCTACGTACAATTCTCTCGTAGGTGCACCTAATTTAATTCTAAAAACATCAAACAATTTTAGTAATACTTTGAAATACAAAGTATTCAGTATGAATTTAAAACATTTAAATACGTACCTGTGAACTTCACCTTCGTACATAAATTCTTTATATTGATCATTAAACGCGCAAGTTATGGTATCTTTATCACCAATCAAAATTCGTCTTATACCATCCTGGAAACCGATTTCTCTGGGATCATCCCAGTTCATGAAAACTACTCCAGTCTGACCATAGTATCTAATCTCTCGTGGTACACTGTCAATATTTATAGACTTCATTGTATCTCTTGCAATTTCATCCAATAATTTTGGATCTGGTGGTGGTAATTCACGACTATGAGGATTTGGATTCTTCATCAATGTCGTAGTATAGTTCTGATCACCCTCTTCAAGATCGTATTTTGAAGACGAACTTGGTGATACATTTCTTGAAGCACTTA